GGCCACCCGAGAAGTCCCAAAGGCTACCTTGGGAAAAGCATGGGGTGGGCAGGAAATAGAAAACTAATTGCTACAGGGGAGGATCTTATTGATAGGAAAAAAACCCACTTGGTTTCCATTTCCAGGAAGTGTTTCAACTAAGAGCGCGCACAAAGAAGCCACCCAGAGTGGCTAGCCGCAGCCTAGGTGGGCCCTTCGGGAAGGAGGTGTGCTCCTCAGAAAGAGTAAGGAGCACTCCTCTGTGCCATAGCGCGTTAGCTTCCTATTTCTGCTGTCACAACTTACCACGCATTTGGTGGCTTAAAGCAATACAGATTTAGTCTCTTATCGTTCCGTTCGTCAGAAGTCTAAGGTCATGGCGTACGCAGGGCTAGTCTCCTTCTGGGGGCCTTAGGAGAGACTTCCTTTCCTTTCTTTTTGCAGTTTCTAGAGGCCACCTGCATTCTTTGGCTCATGGGCTTTTTTTTAAAAAGGTAAAAAAAAATGTTTATTTATATTGAGAGAGAGAAAGAGAGATTGCAAGTGGGGAAGCGGCAGAGAGAGTCCTAAGCAGGCTCCACGCAGCCAGCTCACAGCCTGCCGTGAGGCTCGATCCCATGGACTGTGGCATCATGACCCGAGCCGAGATCAAGAGATGGCCACTTAGGGGCGCCTGGGTGGCTCAGTCGGTTGAGCGTCTGACTTCAGCTCAGGTCATGATCTCACGGTTCGTGGGTTCAAGCCCAGCATCGGGCTCTGTGCTGACAGCTCAGAGCCTGGAGCCTGTCTTCAGATTCTGGGTCTCCCTCTCTCTGACCCTCCCCTGCTCACGCTGTCTCTCCCTCTCTCAAAAAGAAATAAATCAAAAAATTAATAAGAGTCGGCCACTTAACCGACGGAGCCCCCCAGGCGCCCAGGCTCATGGCCTTTCTTAGCATCACTCCGACGACCATCTGCTTCCAGTGTCACATCCCCTGCTGCGGCCTTCTCTTACAATCGCCCTTGTGATTATACTGGTGGGTCCCATCTGGACCCTCAAGGATCATCTCCCCACCTCAGGGCCTCCACCTTAATTATATCTGCGAAGTCCCTGTCGCCATACAAGGTAACACAAGTCACCGGCGTTAGGGATTAGGATGTGGCCATCTTCGGGGAGCCAGTATATCTAGCCTACCAATCTCAGTCATGGGGCAAGTCCACCGGGTCCTAGTGCCACCGTGAGGCCGGGCCTGTCCAGGTTGGTGTGAATGTTCTTGCTCTTCAGACGGGAGGCCCGGAACGGTCTGCCTTTGTGTCAGATGCCTAGTTCCGGTCCAAGGGTCTCTGTCCAGTGGAACAGAGCTCCGCGCGATTAACCCCTAACTCAGGTCGCTTTCTTTAGGGCGAAGCGGAGAAGGAGCACTTAAAGAAGGGGCTTGGGGCAGAGGGTCCAGCAAAATGGCCAAGAGTAAGAGCAGTAGAGGCGACCTCACGGGCTCTAGCCCCAGTCCTGCTGTTCGCGGGCTGGGGAACCTTGGAGAGCTCCCGGAGCCGCCCGGCCTGCCTTCACGGGGCTCAAAGGGAGCGAATACTATCGCCTACACACGGCTGTCAGAACCAACTCTAAGGTAGTGCGTGTTTGATCAGCAAAGGGGCTGACATAGTTGAGGGCTCAGTGAATACTGCCATTCTTAGTATTTGAAGGCTTGGCTGGTCCCAAACAAGTGTCCCGGCCGGTCCTGCCCATGGCTTTGGTCTTGGCTGGCTTCCCTAAGGGCCCCACGTGGCTGTCTTGAAACTGACATTCAGCCAGGTCTTTGCCAGTGTGCTTCTCAGTCCATCTGTGAGGACTGGGGGTGGGGGGTGGGGGGGGGGACGGGGACCCTGGCACACCTTCAGCCCTGAGGATGCGGACGGTCCTGTTCCACCTCGTTCGTGGCCATCCCTGTGGGAAAACCCGACTGGTGGAAACTGCAGCATGGCCACAGCACTGCATGTAGGCAGGCGCGGTCATCGCCGTTGCTGGTTTCACCCCCGTGGCCACCAGCCTGCAGGGCTGGAGGAGGGAGGGGGGCGGAATCCCCTAGAGACCCTGTCTTAGAAATCAATGAGGGAGAGTGGGGGTGGAAAGACGTCTGCCGCCAGGACCCAGTGCCCACGCGGGAGTAAGTGCATCACGTGCTCTCCTCCAAGCAGCTCAAAGCTCTGAAGCATGAACTGCCCGACCGGAAGTGCCTTTCTTTCTCGAAGCCAGGGGGACTTATGCAAGGAGTGTATCGTTTTCAGGATGTCAGCAGTTCTTAGCGTGAACGTGTTTTATCGGGTGAGGAAGGACGGGGAAAGAGCAAGCCCCACCTGCGTGTGGGACTTCCGGAAGCGGCTTCACTGCCGCGCGGCAACACTTGGGAAGGTAATGGTGACTGGAAGGCGGTTCTGCGAGTGGTTTCCACACTCCAAGAACTTGCCCTGATGAGTGGAGGGCTTGACCGGCCCAACTCCACCCTCTGGCTCGTTTATACCCCGACCTTCACTGAGAGGAGATGGAATTGAGAAGGTGGGGAAGGGGTGGGGAGAGGAGGGGTGTTTGAAGCTCGGGGTGTCCAGGCCTTGAGGCTGGAATGCCTGCATCCAAAGCCACCTCGGCGGGACGAGGGCTGCTTGGTGCCCCGGCAATTCCCTCGGAGGGGTTCACTATTTAGGGGGCTTCAGGTCGAAGACCGTGTCGGTGACAGAGCAGGGCAGGGGACAGTGGTCTGGGTCTTGAGCCTCCCCCCCACCTCAACTCATTTCAAGGACGACTATCCTCATGGCTCAGGCCACACAGTGTGTTCCCATCCACGGAGTAAAGCCCCCTTTACAAAGAGCTCCCTGCGGGCGAGGGACAGCCTGGGGGGCAGGCCTCTATCAGCCGAGAGTGATTTAAAAAAAAAAAATCAAGACATCATTGCTGCTTTCCATAAAACCTGGAAACAGCTGAATTAACCCTGCGGGACTCTACTAGACATTTCTTATAAATAAGGTGAGTTTTTGGAAAATATCACGGGGCAAGCACGGACTTAACCCTGTCAAGGATTTTTCCTCAGTTCCAAGGGTCAGCAGTCACGTTGAGGGCTGTAAAGCCCAGGAAGTGGGGCGGGGTGGGGGGGGGAACCCAGGACAACGCATCGTCTGTTTCTCTCTCAATTTAAAAGTTTCTTCACCACAAAGGCTTCATCTCCCACTGGGAGTACAGACCCAAAGCTTTTGTTGGTGACGACAGAGTACATTTGTAGTTTTGGTTCTCCACCGCCTTGCCTAACAATGTACTGAGTCAAAAGGGTTAGTTAGCCATTAATGAGACAGAGAGATGGGGGGAGAGAAACCACCCTAGCTCTTAACTATCTTCGCTACTGATTTACCCAGTGACCTTTAGCCAAGTCCATTTCTCAAAACATCATGAAAATGTGCTTCAGCGCCCCCAAAGTCCCCCCGTGACACTCCATAACCCGCATCACATTCGTATGCTCACATGACTCCAAGCAGAATGACGATCGTCAAGAGTGTACAGTTAAGTGATGTCTGAGCCAAGCCTTCTGGACTCTGACTTTAGAGAGGATCCACTTCCTTGGAGATTTTAAATGATGGTTTTGTCTTATTAGCCTGGTGAAATCATGATTTTAGGGTAGAGTCCAAGGTCCCCGAGTTCTCTTTGGTCCCCAAAGACATTCATGACATGAGTCATGAATCTGTGCTTCTAAACACCTGACTCCGACTCCTCCGCTCTTCCCCCCCCGCCGCCACCTGTTGTTTAACAAATACGATTTTTTAAATATAAGAAGAACACATGTAAGATTTTTCTAAAACCCGCATGCCAAATTAAGAAATTACCACACTCGCAGTAGTTAACAGTTTTCATAATTTAATGAAAAAGTATTGGTAAAAAGGTGACATTTGGAAAAAGACTGAATTTGTCTTGGAAAACTGGACTATATAAGACAAAATGAAAACAAAAATTAACAAAAGAAGGTTAAGAGGTAATACTTCAAACAACAGCAAAATGTAGCAAATACATTTTGGGGAAATTGAAATTTACACAACTGAAGGCTCCTTCATTTACTTAGGAAAATCCTGTAAAAATATTACAACTATATCTCCCTGACTGAAGTTATTTTTGTCAATCCTCTCCCCATGGCATCACATCTGGAATTTGGCTGAAGCGCTTTTTCAACGTTTGCTTTTCCTCGCACTCAACTCAGAACCAAAAGGCATGAAAGCGCTCGGGCTTGGGGACTGGCCTCGAGCAGACAGAAGGCTGTGACAGCAGAGCCCCGCCAGCTCTGCATGGGCGGGAAGGTGTCAGATTTGCGCCCAGCCCAGCGGAGCTCGGCGCTTTGGGGGGGGGGGGAAGCACAGACACCCAGTGTGACACGGGAGGAAGGCTCTTCCTCGCGCGGACAGCTCTTAGCCGGTTCCATTCGAACGGAACGCGTGTTCGCATGTGCACATGGGCGTACAAGACACATTCTCAAGGTGTGCCACAGGGGAGCAAAATACAGAAGTTTTCCAAAAAGGAGGCAACAACAACAAGAACCACGGCCAGAGGCTAGGGGGTCCCGGCCCGCCCTCACCGCCTGGCCGGCCACCAGCTTTAAAGATCTACCCGAGGCTGCTTTTTGTCTGCAAATTCCCACTCCGCTTTCCCAAACTAGAAGAAAGAGAATAGTAATTTAAGGCTAAGAAGAAGAGAGAGCAGAGAAGTAGAGTCGGCTTCACATTTTAAAAAACTGTAACCTTTCCCCCTTCTTTTAAATGGGAAGCAGACATGTTTTATCCCCCCCTCCCCCAACGTAATTATTCTCTTCCTCCCACAAATTATTCAAGGCTGATGGTTTGGGAACAGGGTATAAGCAACTTCTGAAAAACGGCTCCAGCCTTTTTGTTGGGGGAATTGCCTCGGATTCAAAGTTGGTACAAAGCTAAATTATATCCATGTGTTAAACACACGCTCTCAAATTCTGTTTGACAATAAAAATCTGTTTCAAAATTAAAGCAGGTAAGAATACTTAACCTCTGTGCATTTTACTATATCTTAATTATACCTCAATAAAAACTTTATAAACATTAAAGCAGGTGTACAAAAAACTGTCAGCCAAACTTATTTAAGTCAAACTGATCTGAAAACAAGAACACAAAAACCCTGACCTGGTACAAATCCTCCGGAATTGGTCTCACTCTGGGAAAGGCTCTGGGATCCCTCACAAAAGCTTAAGTGGACTCGGAGCATCTTCCTCGGAAGCAGTACTCGTTTGTACCTCTGTAAACACTATCCACAAGTTAGCCTCTTACACTTATTAGACGGGCCAAGTAGTTACAAGTGCGCCCCCGACCAGCAAGTCTAGGAACAGGCACTGGACACGTTAGAAGCATCGGGAGTATTGACTTGGTAGGTAAGATACTGCGAGACGAGCTCAACCTCGGGTGGAGCCAAGGAAGAGGGTAGTGAATCTGACAGTATCTGGGATGCTGGTCCCTGGGCTGTCCCTGAAGCGGGTTTCCAGACACCAATGGAGTTAGACACGTCCTACAGACAGGAGCTGTGGGAGGCCACAGGCCGTAGCTTCAAAAGTAAGTAGTTTTAGTGTCTGATAATCACGGTCTCTTGCAAATGCTAAGAATGCAAGGACTCTTAATACGTATGTGCGTCAGCGAGCTGCTAGGACTGGAGAGCTGTCCCAATGGATTTACTGAGCAAGTAATCTGGGCCCAGCTGTTCTCAACAGCCTCTGGCAGAAAAACTTCTGGACAATATGTAATTCCTAGAATGTGCTTATGAAAAGTAGGCTTGAAACAATCTCAAAAACCGCAAGCCAGCTCAACGTGGAGCTGGGTTACTCGGTCACTACACTTCCTCCTAAAGTACACTAGAATCCTTTGGGTGTGGGGCTTGCCCCGGTGGACGGGGCAAAGGCAAAGCCTGAGCTATTCTTGCAGGGCTCCGATCACCTCTGCGTTGAGCTGTGGGAAAGGGGATGCGACTTGCTTTTACCGTGGCAATCCCGCCGAGAGTCGGGGGGGGGGTTTTCCCTGTCTGAGCTCACTCTCCGTACCCTGACTTTCTCTCTGGTCCCATCGCTCTCTGCTTCTGAATCACTCAGCTCCAAATCAGGGCAATAGCCATCGTTTTCCTGATACGGAGCTCTGCCTGCAGCCCGCCTGACAAGCTGCTTGCCCCACAGCTGCTCCTTGGGGGTGATGCTCTTGGCTGGCTTCACGCAACACTGCAGGTCCTCTGTGGTCCTCGCCCACCTGTTGGTGGCCTCCTTAAAGGACCTGCTGAAGTGTTCCATGGTAGACTTTCGAAAGGTGCCCTGACCGGCCAAGTGGGAGCTGAGCATGGACTCCTGGCCACAGAACACCTCGCTTGAGCTGTCCTTTTGGGTGGCATCTCCAGACCAGCCGCCCTCCAGGCCGTTGGATCTGGCAAGCTTGGAGGTAGACTGACTTTTCCCATTCCCGATGGAAGCCTGTCCGTGCAGGGCAGCCTGAAGTGCCAGAGGCTTTCCCAGTGACTGGCCGTGATAGAACTCCGGAGATGGAGTTCTCCAAGCAGGACTGGGATCCCGTGCTTCACTCCTAGAGTGGCTGAGACTGGCCAGCAGACGGTTACTCTTGCTTTCTAGAGGATGTCTCGGGTATGATTTTGTTCTCATTTCTAGTGACCCCTGAGGCACCTGCATGCCCCTTAGACTGGGAACAGGGGGGCTGCTGGCAGCAGAGAGGGCTTCGTGATCAGGCTCCGTGGAGCTGTTTCTGCAGTCTTCCGGGGCCGATCTAGGCATTTTTAACTTTAAGGTAATTCTTGGCGGTGGGTAGAACAATGAGTTTTCTAGTGTACTTGTCAAAGGAAGTCCTGAGATCAAAAAGACAGACTCATTTTAACAATCGATTTAAATAACGGCGTGTATGCTTATTATGGCCGTGAGTTCGCACACCCGCTCTCTGAGACCTCTAACGGGCTCCCCGACTTTCATGTGTATGTGCATCTTGGGACAGAAGCTGGAGCGGCCGAACCAGGGGTTGTGTGTGTGTGTGTGTGGGGGGGGGTTCTTCAGGTGGGAAACTCCACGAAGCCCCTGCTGGTAGTGTGGCTCTCAGTCTCCTCACCTCTGCCCTCCCAGGCTGTAAAATGATCACAAAGACTAGTGTGCCACCTCCTATACCCCTATCTCACCCCCGGCACGTCCGAAAAGAACGTCACCAGCAGTGGTTTGGAAGAGTGTCTCCCTATCTGGGTATCTGCGTGCGTGCATGTGCGGGTGCTGCACAGGCTTGGGAAGACATGTCAGACCCTACCCTCTGATCTCTCCTGCCCTTCCTGAAAAGTCAAATCTAAACCCTCAGGAACCCAGCATAAATTTTGGTGGATGAAGAGCATGTGAATACGGGTTTTTAACCTCGCAGCAGCAAAGATGGCAGTGGGTGGTTCTCATGTATTTTACGTCTGCAACCTCAAGCAATCTCCTCACTGTGAACGAGCACCACTGGGGGGCAGGGTTTGCGGTGGCAAGGCCAGCAGGGAAGAATCATGACATTCCTGCCGGTGGCCTGCTTTGCGCCTGGCCTGGGAGTCTGGCAATCAGTTACCTGGTTCTGTCTTCCTACGACCACATTTAGAACAGATCTTCCTCTATTACTTTGGGTGCTCTGAAATTAAAAAAGTATTTCTAAATAATTCCTCCTTGCATAGGGGCTTAACCCTTCCCCGCAGGAGGGGGATGAGAAAGTGGCACCTGGGCAACATGGGTTCCATAAGGGTGCGTGGGGAGTGCTTACAGCCCCGTCTCACTGCCACCTGCACATACCACAGGCAGTTACGGGGCTGGCGGCCACCACTCAGGAGCCGTGTGGCTTAGGGGACAATCTCCCTGGCACACCAGGGACCCTCCCTGCCGTCCTCTGGCTTCGTCTTGCCCGTCACGGTGCCCTTGTGGCTGAGCAGCCCTGCCACCTCCTGTTACAGCAATCTGCTGTGACCCGTGATCCTTACAAACACCCCAGCGCCTCTGACGCCTACCTGACACCTCGTTTCTGGGTGTCTCCCTCACTCTATGGCTGCCCCCTGGCTGGAGCCGGATTCTGTGCAGCCCTGCACAGTGACTCCTGGCTGCCCAGGCTCTGCCACCAACCCCTGTATCAAATGAGGTAAAGGAGGGTTACAGAGGTCCCTGAATGGGACTGTCATTGCCGCTGGGCTTAGGGCACTGGAATTATGCTCTCCTGTCTCTCTCATCAAGTGTGCAGGGACCCTGTCTTGCGGACTGCCCTGCTTCCTAGCTTAGTTCTCGGTCTACAGTAGGTGCTCAACAAGTATGAGTAAGTAAGAGACAGAACCCAATCTCCCGACTACTGGCTAAGGTTTTAACAACACATGGTTAAGATGAGGGATCCTAGAGTTCAATGTTTTCTGGAAACTCTGTCCTATGGTATTGATTTCTAAGTGAATCTGATGGTTACCAAAGAGTTCATGGCTTTAACTGGCGGCCCCTATACCTGTCTGACACCAAGACAACCTGCCTGAGACCTGCAAGGGCCCCCTGCCCTACCCTGGGATTTGTTGCCTCATGAGCTGACAGGGAAATGGGCCGTGTTGTATCGGGGCTGGACCAGGGCAAATGAGATATTTGACAAGAATTTTAAAAGATTTTAAAGTAAAACAATTGACGCAGAGTTTAAATGGTTAAAATAGGATGAAACCAGAGCCTATGTATTTCTTAGGGCTTTTTTTCTTTTTTTAAAGTAGGCGCCAAGCCCAGGGCGGAGCCCAGTGTGGGCTTGAACTCATGACCTTGAGAAGGAGACCTGCGCTGAGGTGAAGAGTCAGACGCTTAACCTGCTGAGCCACCCAGGTGCCCCCGGGCATCTTTAATGTAAGGTTACCTGCGGCCATTTCCTGGTTAAGAAGCTGGACTTGCAAACCGAAGATCTGTTCCTGTACTTTGTTTTGGGACAGTTTCAGCTTCTCCCGCCTGCTTATCATGTAGCACAGATTTCGCACCTGAAAGCCCAATCCCCAGCAAATAAGAGATTTTTGTCACGTAACGGAAACCTGACCATTGAAATCGCGTAGCCAAAATTAACACAACTAAAATCAAGTGGGGCGCAGGGGCGGCGAGGAGAGGCTACAACGCCTGGGCAGCCCTACCGAGAGCCCCTCCGCAGGGCCTCACGCGGCCTGGTCCGGCACGGGGCCGTGGTGCTCAGGTGGATCGGCAGCACGAGCAACACGCTTCTGGGCCACCTCCTGAGACCTCCACTCCCCGTGGCATGACGGGCTCGGGGTTTACCTGCACAGCCACGCTGGGAAGGGAAGACCCGGTGACGATGTGGCATCACCCAGCCTTCCCTTTAAATCCCTGAACAGAGCAGCGGCAGCGCTGGGCCCACAGGATAAAGGTCTGCTGCACAGACTGACGGTGGCTTTCTTGCCCACGCCTCCAGCTCAGCCAAGTCTCGAGAGCCACAAGGGTGCAACCCACATGCTCCCATATGTCCCACCCCACCTAGACCAGTCACCCCACCGTTCTGTGCCCCGGTTTAGTCATCTGTAAACAGGGCTAACAACACAGGCACGGCAGGGTTAAATGAGTTAATATTTATGAAAGGCCTAGAAGAGTGCTGCCACATAGTAAGTGCTACAGATGTGAGAGCTTAATTTTACAAAGGGAGCCAAATCTGTTCCCTTCCAGATTCTGGTAGCAGAGAGAAAAAAAACAAGCCATCTCTATAATTATACTTGATTATAAACTTCTCGAGGGTAAACACAGGGCCCAATGTATCTCTGAATCAGTGAGTTAAACTGAATTATCTGGTGTGGAGGCTCTCAGCCAGAGGCAACTGTGGTCCCCCAGGGAGCATTTGGTGATCCGGAACCATTTTCCATTGTCATTAATTGGGTATGTGTGGGGAGGGGTATGTGCTACTGGGTAGAGGCCAGAGACGCTGCTGAGCATCTTCCAGTGTTCCCCACAACAAAGGACAGTCCACTCCCCCCCCACAGCAAAGAACTGTCCAGCCCAAGATGTCAGTAGTGCCGAGTTCGAGAAACCGTGATCTAGCTCTTTCCTCAACAAAATCCAGTCTTTCCTCAGCCCACAGTCTCATGTGTCAGTAAAATAGAGCTGAGCCAATTTAGGCTCAATGGTGAATAAAAATTAAACTGAATGAAAATTTATTTCAGATCGAAGCTTCCTAAGATGTAAGTGAGGGTGCCCCAATTCCCTTGGAAGTGCCTGATAGAAATGTAAACAGAGCCCAACGTTCGGGGCCACAATGCCGTTAGAAGACAAGCCAGGACACAGAAGCCCACACTATAAAGGAGCTGACCTTTAAAAACCAAAACAAAACGGGAAGTGGGGCCTCTGGCTCTATGCAGCCTGAGGCCTAAACCGCGCCCACAGCCGGTCACCTTACCCTCTCTAGGTCTTGCCTCAGATGCATGAACATTCTCATGCGAGTGTGAATACTCTCCTCTTTCGGCTGCACCAGGCCGTTTTCTTCGTCCTGCCTTGGAGGAAATAATGGCTTATTGAAGTTACTTTTCCGCTTTAGTTTCCAGTAGTTGTAGATAAAGTCCACAGTGAGCGTGGGCAGCCCCAGTTCTGTGGCCACATCTTCCACGCGGACCAGGGTATAGAACTCCTCCTCTAGCTCCCGAAGCTTCTGTGCCCGCAGGCTGATTTTTTCACTTTTGGCCTGGCTCTGCTCTGTAGCCCTGTGCATGGGGTACTCGGCCTCCCTGAGCTTCTGCCTAGTTTGGCTGTGCTTGAGGCAGTATGACTTGAACTTCACTTCGTCCCCCTCATCTAGGGTGGTCTTCATTTCCAGGCTGTGCTCAAAAGCACAGGTGACGTGGAAGGCAGTGATGCAGCTTTTCACAGAGCACTGTGGGAAGAAAAGTCGTGTTAAGGCAGCAGGGCTGGGGGTGGGGCGGGGGAGAGGGAACCCTATACCCCTGGGCTTAATGTGAAAGCTTGCAGGAAGCAAAGGCAAGGCAGGGAGAAAACTGGCCCCAAATGGACTATGACAGATGCTTTACAGGTAACCCAGGACATCGGCTTGCATAGAAAACAGAACAGAGGCAAAAATAAATAAATAAATAAATAAATAAATTCAAGTGCCCCTTTAGCTCAGGCCTGAAATTTTTCTGAGAAGTCTTCCTCGGCCCCTGTGAAGAGTCATGCTGTCCCTTCTCTGTGGCCCTCACGTCACCTTATTATATGCTTCTACAGTAGTACTTTTTTACACTGTACCTACAGTAAAGTGGCAGAACCCTGGCCAGAGTTCTTAAAGACAGAAGCTGTGTCATTCATCTTTGCATGGCCATCAACTATGGAACGAGCATGTGCTCAAGAAATGCGTGTAAACAAAAGAAAAAATGAAGTCAATGTTGCTGCCAGAGCGTCTACTGGTTCTAAAACGGTCCCAGGAACTCCACTATCTAAGTAAGTTAACTTCTTGAAATTGTTCTTATAGAGCTGTGCTGTCTAACATGGTAGCCAACTTGCCATGAGTAGCTCTTTAAATGTAATTTAATTACACATACAACATGTATGTGTAATTGGGGCGCTTGGGTGGCTCAGCCGGTTAAATATCCGACTCTTGATTTCAGCTCATGTCATGATCTCACTGTTCGGGAGTTTGAGCCCCGTGTTGGGCTCTATGCTGACAGTGCAGAGCCTGCTTGGGATTCTCTCTCTCCCTCTTTCTCTGCCCCTCCCCACTTTCGAGAGTGCATGTATGTGCACTTTCTCTCTCTCTCTCAAAATAAGCTTAAAAAAAAAATGGAGGGGTGCCTGGATGGCTCAGTCGGTTAAGCATCTGACTTCAGCTCAGGTCATGATCTCACGGTTTGTGGGTTCGGGCCCCACGTCAGGCTCTGTGCTGACTGCCAGCTCAGAGCCTGGAGCCTGCTTCTAATTCTGTGTCACCCTCTCTCCCTCTGACCCTCCCCTGCTCACGCTGTCTCTCTCTCTCAAAAATAAAAAAAACATTAAAAAATTAAAAAAAAATTAAAATGGTATACAATTAAACATTCAATTCCTCAGCCACCCCAGCCACATTTCAATCATACTGGACACTGGAGACTTCCATCGCTCCAGAAAGTTCTATGGGACATCAGGGCTACCAACAATCTGAAATCAAGTTTATAATATTCTGCCATTCATAGATGCAACACGTTTGTTAAGTATCACTCCGTAGCATGCACTGAGGATTCAGTTACAGGGCGACAGAGCAGGAAGAACCTGGCCCATGACGGCTGTACTCCTGTGCTTTAGTCAGTCTCCACTATCACTGGTCACGGTTACAGTGCTACAGCTTTCCATCCAAAGATTTTAAATACATGGGAGAGAAAGCAGTGGAGGATCAGTTTCTAAAAACAGTGGGGAATTCCCACGGTGAAAACCACGTCTCAACTCTTCTGCAAGCCTGAATCTGGAGGGCCACTGCCAAATTAACTATACGTTGGGCTCAGATACAAATAAAGACTAACAAATGCAAAACTGACTGGTCTCCTTCTCATAGACGGAGAAATTCAGCATCTAAGAGGATGCTGGCAACCATCAAAGCTTTAATGGAGGCAGATTCCATTTAAGCTAATTTTACAGGATAAAGAATTGCAGAGATGAAATATGATCCTAAGATCATCTTATCCAGCACCCCATTTATTACTGCTTGTATGTGCGCCTCTGGAGTCCCTGGTTTTCTCCCTCCACTGCCCTGCCCCCCAACTCTTTCAAGACTTTTCAAGTAAATGGTAATCTAGCCACTTGAACTGCATCCCTAAGACAGCCCACCCCAGCTTCAGGCAGTTCTATTGGAAGAGACTGTTACCTTACACTGAAATCTGTATCCTTAAAATGTCCACGTATTTGAAAAAAGTCTTATGATCATGAGGATGATGAAAGCCAAAAATGTACTTTCATTTGGGTACCTTGTGTTATCACTTGGCTAAGAGACTAGCCAGTCATTTAAAAAACAAGAAGCAAAAGGCATTCTTTGCAGAAGATTAAAAGTGTTGGGCATAGCGCTCTTTCGCTGTTTAGTAACCGACAAAAATGTGGGAAGGGAAAGCAAAAGGCCTGTGTCCTATGCAAGGGGATGAACGTGTAACATAAAAGTACCACTGACTGGAAGCTAAAAACAGATCATGTCTCTCAGGTCACATTTATAGACTGTGGAGACAGAAATATAAATTAGTCAAAATAAAAGATGACACACAAATAAGAACTGGGAGCTTGGATGAAAAAATGGAATAGGTCCTTAGGAAACTCTGCCATAAATCCATTTAGTCACCAAAAAGGTCATTCTATGATGTTTACAGCCGAAGGTCGATACGTTTTGGTGGTAAAAGACAAATGCCAACCAAGTTTTGGAGCCAATCAGATACCTATTTACCTTTTTCCAAAAACATACCCTTGGAATATTCTAGTAAACAAAATGCCTTTATATACATCCATTTCTATTGTAACCACTTAGGGTGACAGAGAAGGTATATATTATGCCCCTTAAAATAACAGCTTTATTGAGATACAGTTTGTGGGCCATAAAGCTCACGGATTTTAAGTATACACTTCAATGGTTTCAGTATGTTTACAGAGGTTTGCAAGCGTCACCACTGCGTAATTCCAGTACGTTTCCTTTTCTGTTGTTGTTTCAAGTTTTTATCCTAGCACCTTTTCATTACCCCAGAAAAGAAACCTCGCGCTTATCTGCACTCACTTCCTGTTCCCAGCCCCAGTCCTAAGCAACCACTGATCACCTTTGTGTTGCTGTAAGTAGGGCCTATTCTGGACGCGTCATACAGGAGGGATCAGACACGTGTGGCATTTGGTCTGGTTTTTTTCACTCAGCATGTCCTCAAGGTTCCTCAGTGTCATAGCATGTATCAGAATTTCATTCTTTTAAAAATACAGCATGGCGCTCGGGTGGTTTAGTCGGCTAAGCATCCAACTCTTCATTTTGGCTCAGGTCATGGTCTCACGGTTTGTGGGACTGAGCCGTGTGTTAGGCTCTCTGCTGACAGTGAGGAGCCTGCTTGGGATTCTCTCCCCTCCCGCCCCTCCCTCACTTGTGTGTGTGCTCTCCCTCCCTCTCTCTCAAAATACACAAACGTAAAAAAAATTAAAATATGGCCAAACAACATTCCGTGGTAGGAATACGCCACATTTGTTTATCCATTCATCACTCGATGGACATTTGGGTTGGGTTGTTTTCAGTTTTTGGCTGTTATGAAATAATGCTGCTATAAGCATTTCTCTGCAAGTTTCTGTGCGGACATAGGTTTTCATTTCTCTTTGGGAAGGTGCATTAAAGGATGAACCTTGCCCAAAGAAAGGTTTGGCCCTTTGCCCCAGGCTACTAAGAGGTGACCTGTAAGCCTCTGGAATGTCCTGACTTAGAATCTGAGTTGTCTTTGTTTATCTGGGGTTCCTGGACCAGGTCAGATAGTCTCCGCTAACAAAGTGATTTATGGTGGAGGCTTTGAGCCACGTGGTATCAGCCTGACCTCCGGAGGGACTGGGGGCTAAGGTCAGCCATGTGGGTGGTGAGTTGTGTCTAAGTGGCCAACTCCTAACGAAGGCTATGAGCACTGAGACTTGGTGAGAGTCCTTGGTTGGCAATACTCTGTGTATTATCACACGTCACAAGGGGGCAGAAAGCAGCGCTGTCCACAGGACCCATTCGGGGAGGACAAGTGGCAGCCTCGTGCCTGCTCACTCCTGGGCCCCTGCCCTGTGCGCCTCTCTCCCTTGTGTTTGATCTGCAACCTGTGCCTCACTGTGATAAACTGCAACTACCAGCAGAACGGCTTTTCTGAGCTCTGTGAGTCCTAGTGAATTGGGGAACCTGAGGGTGGTCTTGGACACTTAAAGTGGTACACACTTTGAAGTGGAATTGCTAGATCATATGGTAATTCTACATTTAACTTAAAATTTTTAAAAAATATATTTTTCAGTGAGAGAGAGAGAGAGAGAGAGGGAGGGAGGGAGGGGGAGGGGGAGAGAGGGAGACACAGAATCCGAAGCAGGCTCCAGGCTCTGAGCTGTCAGCACAGAGCCCGACACGGGGCTTGCACCCACGAACTGCAAGATCGTGACCTGAGCTGAAGTCGGATACTTAACTGACTGAGCCACCCAGGCACCCCTACATCTAACTTTTTGAGAAAGTGCCGAACTGTTTTCCACAGAAGCTGCACATGTTACATTCCCACCACCAGCAAAGCACAAGGGTTCTGATTTCTCCATTCTTGCCAGTAACTGTTATTGTCTGCCTTAAAAATTTTTTTTCATTTATTAGAGAGAGAGAGAATGGGGGAGGGGCCAGAGGGAGAGAGAATCTTTTTTTTTATTTTAAAAAAAATTTTAAAGTTTATTTATTTATTTTTTAATGTTTTATTTATTTCTAGGAGAGAGAGAGACAGCGTGAGCAGGGGAGGGTCAGAGAGAGAGGGATTCACAGATTGAAACAGGCTCCAGGCTCTGAGCTGGCAGTCAGCATAGAGCCCGACGCGGGGCTCGAACCCACGAACCGCGAGATCATGACCTAAGTGAAAGTCGGACGCTTAACCGACTAAGCCACCCAGGTGCCCCTTAAAGTTTATTTTTATTTTGAGAGAGACACAGAGAGCTGGGGGAGAAGGGCAAAGAGAGGGAGACACAGAATCCCAAGCAGACTCCATGCTGTCAGCACAGAGCCCAATGTGGGGCTCAAACTCATGAACTTTGAGATCATAATCTGAGTGAAAGTCAAGAGTCAGATTCCCAATGGACTGAGACACCCAGGTGCCCCTAATTTTTGAGAGTTTTTTTTGGGGGGGAGAATGAGCACAAGTGAGTGAGGGGCAGAGAGAAAGAGAGAGAAGCAGGGCTCATCCAAAGTGG